TTGCACTATATAAGTAAAAAAATCCATTCATTAAACAGCAACTGCTGTTACTCCAGGAAAAAAAAATATTCAATTCTCCAGATAAAAAGAACTTAATGAGAATAGGCATTTACGGTTTGTACTAAAAAAAACTCTATGTAACAGTGTTACCATACTTTATTACTTTTTACTGTTTACCTTAGATAGGTTACGGATAGTGTGCTTTTAATTTGATAATTTACCTTTATTGTGCTTAAAAAATTGAATCTTTTTCAGCACTTAAATAAAAAGTGGAATTTTAGGAATTTGATTAAACTAAAACTTTCCTGCTATGAACAGATTTAGTGTGGAGGTGAAGCATCAAATTTTAAATTATTTTCATGTGGTTGATTGAAGCAGAAGTAATGGAGAAGTTATAGAATAAATATGTCATCGTTTTTTAATGTTTTGATGGTATTTTTCTGCTCTTCAATGTTGCAAGTAGATGTAACATGATTTAATCCAAAATAAAAGTCAAGCGTAGCTGCGCTAGACAATGTTTAAAGGTAGGGCCGTTTAATGTTTTAGAAAGTTATCATACAGTGTAGGCAGCAATCTTCTTTTAATTGGAATCTTTATTTATGTGTTTATTTCAAAATCAGCTCCTTACTAAACACGTATATTGTAAACTTCATATTCATGTTTCAGTTTTTAAAGCTGTGTTTTTTCTTCTTCTCTAAATGCTAAGTGTTTTCCTGTAGTCTAGCTATTCCTCTTACTAAATATTGTTGATACCATTTGTAATAAATCCACTCATTGCCATAGCTGTCTCTGAGGTATCATGAAAAGGGCATAATAAATTCAGTACTATACTCGATGGCCTAAGGATTAAAGAAAATCGTGTTGTCTCTAACACTTGATGAATAGAAGCCGACCTTCCAAACGCTTCCAGATTATTGGGTCATTTTGACTGTAATTTAAAAAAAAAACGAAAGTTTTCTCACCCTACTTTTCTCTTGCTGCATGTGGATTGGCCACTCATTAAGCGCACGCTAGAAACTATATAAAAATATACTGGTTTTTGCACATTACATTACAAAGAGAGATTAAGGTTACTTTTCACCACAGATTTGTTTGTTTTTTTTTGGTATATTTAGAAACAAAATATTTTTATCCCAGTCTGGACTGTAAACTTGAGGGCTCATGATTCATTTCTGTGACATAAAAACGCGCTTCGTGCTTTGGGTCGTGAGTGCACTAAGAGTGACTATCAAATTCCACTATCCTTTAGAGAAGTTTAAGAGTTGGCGATGGGTGGTATTGAATAGCTATTTCTCTCTAGTTTATCAATTCAAATTAGGGGCGGCTATGTGCAGATAGCAGTTGTGTAGCTATGTACGAAAATTGTAAAATCAAAAAAACAAATTTCTCATTATGGATAAAATAAGCTTTTCTTTCAAATAAAATATTCAACATTATTCATAAAGCGAAATAAAAGCAAAAAATAATTGTGTTATGTGTTATCTTTGTTTCTATTAAGTCATAATATAACCGTATAAATTAATGTTAAAAGTAAAAGCTTTACTATAGAAATTCCATTAACCTACACAACTATTCAGAAAGAATCTAACGCCTATTTGTTGAGTTAATACATTATCGTCAATACACACTAGAGAAAGTTCATTTTTAATAGATCGCAGCGAGTTTGTTAGTTTATGAAAGAGGAAATATTATTAAGTTCAAACTGATAATATAATTTTCACTAAAACGAACAGGGCTACAGTTTAAAATAATAAATTACTTCATACAAAATAATTACTGACGACTTAAGTGTTAGTGAATTTAAAATAATTTTCAAATCTAGTAAAGGATAAGATATTGTAAGTTGGAATTGCATTCAGGGTGCATCAAATTACATGTTCACAAACTTGAGTTTTACAGCATTTCTAAGTCTATAGTATAGAAAATTTAGTTCAGATAACGCTTTCCAAACTGAGTCATCCTTACATAGCGTTAGTATGCATTTCAACCACACCAAGTGTCAACGACCACCCTTTTTCTTCCTGTTGTTCATGTTGCTGCTGACACGTTATTTGATCATTCAAATTGTGATTTACAAACAAAAGGATTATTTCTCATTCTACTTTCCTTATCATTATTGACAACATTTCTCTCGCAATTGGTGATGATAGAAATATATATATACTTCATTAGTTTTAAACTACAGCAAAAATATGGCATTTTATCTATTTTTGAGCTATTCACTAGCGTGAAGTCATCCTGCTAGCACCACATCTAGAACTCTCCCACGGGGCCAGCTCGTTCACTGTAAAATAACGACGAAGTGACTTTTACTAGTAATATTTTAGGTCTATTGAGATAAAAAAAATCTTGTATTTTTAATTTTGTGTCTTATAACAGAAAACAGATTGCTAGGAGAATGCCATTTTTTTTCATCACACTCAATTATCATCTAAAGAAAAATGTTTTTTTATATGGACGTACAGGAACAAATATTTCTCTGTATCTGGTCTGACCTGATGGATTTGTTTCCCAGACAGTGCTAAAAAAATTAAACATGCTGGCTAGCATTTTAAATAACGTTAATAATTTACACTTACTAAGTTAGCGTTGGACAAATGTCAAGATTATATACATTTTGGATGAACCTCGTAAACAATATCCATAATTTATACATTCTGAGTTAGAATTCTAAATAATTTAAGGAAAATACAGATATAATGATCATATATACTTTTTTCTTCTTTTGCATAGAACTTAAGTAATAAGTCTTTCGAATTGAAAATCTACAAGTTATTAGTAATTCCTTATAGCTTTCGGTCTACAGCATGTAGGTCAGACACAAACGACGTTGAAACACCTACTAATTGTTTCTCTCTGCTTTGTCTACAGGTAGTATTCGTATGATAACAATAAAAGTGCGCGTAATCACGGGCCGAGCTGTGATTCTGAAAGTTCATTGCATGCGTCTCGTCACCCCACATACACAAATAATAATAATAGTAACTGTTCTCCACGCTTTGGGGTCGTGGTTTTCTTTGTTCAATTTCGCCCCCTCACGACTGAAATGGCAAACATATTCGTGACAGTTTTTGATCTCCTCGAGGCTAGCAGATTGTGAGCCGAGAGCCCTTGGACTGTGGGTGTGTATAAGAGTGACAGTCAAATACCATTATTCGGTTAAAGTAGCCCAACAGTTTGCTGTGCGTGCTATTGACTAGCTGTCTTTTCTCTAGTCTATCACTTTTAAATTAGAGACGGCTAGCGCAGTAGCCCTTAAAAAGCTTTGCGTGAATATTCGAATGATGAAGCAAACGAAATTCCGAAAAATATTGATATATTTGTTTAATATATTCGTTTTTTATCTATGTTCAGTATTTTTCAAACTCTTATTGTGGAAAGGCATATGATCAAGAGTTGTATTAGATGAAAACAATGAATAAAATTCAATCTGTGGGTCGCGGGTTCGAATCCCCGTCCCATCACACATGCTCGCCCTTTCAGCCGTGGGGGCGTTATAATGTGACGGTCAATCCCCCTATTCGTTGGTAAAAGAGCAGCCCAAGAGTTGGC